TTATGGCTAAATAATTTTATTTTCAAGTTAAATTTTCATTGGTTTGATAGATATTCTTTCCTTTGATCACTATTTACTGTCAATTCCACATCTACAGTTGTTGACAACAGCTCTCATAGATTTCGACAAGTACAAACCAACATCATCAACAGAAATAAATTATGGATGCGATTTAGCATCAAATAAATACAAAGAGATATATGTGATTGACAGCAGCTGTCAAAGTGCATGTCAAACTGCAATATGAATTATGAAAATAAATAAAACAATTTTTTAAGCAAATTTAAATAGCACAACAAACATTTTAGACTTTAATGTTGCAGGTATTTCCCTCTTAAGCAACATTTAGACGCTTGAAATTCGATCGAAACGCACTGACATTACGTAACATATGTTTTGAATACACTCAATGGGTAGGAATTGTACAAAGCGTGAATGCTTAATACACAGGAGCGGCCGTCGCCCAATGCTAATTTGTATAATTAAGTGAATGTAATGCAGTCCTTTGAGCCGAAACGCCACAGCGATAGCCTTTGAGCGAATGCAATTCATTTTAATTGCATTGCGGCAAACCAATTTCAAAGGACCCCCAAATAGAGAGCGCAAAAAACGACCATTTAAAATGGCTGTAAAAATGCTAAATGCCGAATAAATTTTAGGTGCACCAACTAAAAACAGAAATGAAAAAATAAAAACAGAAGGAAAACTAAACACATTCATACTGAAGTTGAGCATTTCTAGGTCACGAGCTCTTTACTATTTTTATCATCGCAAATAAAATTCAAATAGATGCGCCCGAACGTGCGTTGCAATAGAAAGAGAGGGACAAGAGAAGGAGTCGAAGATCCGAGACTTGAGACTAATCGCGTGACACTTGCAGCTGTTTAGGATGCAGCCCGAGTGCAGGTAGCTCCGTGTCCAGCTGCTCAAACTTCCCCCGAACAGCAGCGAAAATTTCCAGAAAACAATAGAAGATACTGAGCCATAAAGCAGGTAGTTGAGAGGCTGGCTATAAAAATCACAGACCCTAGAGCGAGGCACGCAGTCCACGACGAACGCCCAAGCCATTCACACGCACCATTCACCGAAACTCTACTGTTGTCTTACATATATCCCGAGTTCCTTAATATCTATATAGAAATATGGCTGAACAACTGTTTCCGGGTCTGGAGCGTCCGCTGCCGCAGCTGCCTTCCCTGCCCTACACGCTCTTCGCCTATCGCGAGGAGCTGCGACGTCGTGATGCGCCCTTCATGAAGATGTCCACGATCAAACTGCATCTCACGGACAATCTCATACTGCAGACCATTAAGAACATACGACAGCTGGATACCATTGAGATCATGAATCTGAATCGAGAGATTGTCTTCAAGCGCAAGCTGACAAAGCAGATGCATAAGGTGCGCAAGCTGGAGAAGCTCGGACTCAACGTCGATCCGCGTCAGCTCAAGGACGTACAGTGGAACTAAACCATAACGAACAGCAGCAGCAAACTGTGTACAACAAAACATACTCCAAGCATGTCAACTAAAAACCAATTTATTCTTAAGCCCGCCAGTTTCTAAAACTCAGTTGTAAGCTGAATTCATATTGAATATATATTTTAAAAATACAAAAAAATGAATAAAAATAATAAATAAATAAAACTAAATGCATATAAAAAACAAAAGAACATAAAATTGATCTGTGAAAAATTTAATTTACTTTTTTTTCAATGTATACCAAAATGTAATAAAAATGCAAATTAAATGGAAAATGGAAGATTAATTCTTATCATGAATTTTCAGTCTTTAATAATGAGGGAAATTGAGATAAGTTTAGATTTAGGTGGTTTCTTTTTTTATATATACATATGAATATTTTTATCTATCACTGCATTTGACGTAATAGCTACCATAAAGAGTTTGAGACAAATGTTTTTTTTTATATATATAGCAATATACAGAGATTACAAAAAAAAAAAAAATAAATCTCTGTATAAGAAGGAGGTATAGAAATATACAGAGATTTATTTTTTTAAATCTCTGTAAAGAGATCTCTGTATATTCTATACCTCCTTCTTTCTCTATTTGTATTACCTTCAGTATTTATATGTATTTAAACGTATCTACATAAAGGAGACTGGCTTTGTAATTCGAAGATTTATTTTTATCTTATTTCATCAGCATCATATCGACACATTCCCGCGAAATGATCGTATATCGAAAAATGCTATTGATATTTGCATCATATCCCTATCATAACATGATTTTTATACTAGAATATGCTTATTTATTTATTTTATTTTCTTATTATTTCATACCTTTCTGAATCTATTATCTCACTATATTATCAGTTCTTCACTCATATATACAAATTTCCCCCCTTCCACACATAGATTTATCATAGAGGGTATTCCCACGTCAAGCTCACCTTTTCTCTCACCGACCCCTACTAAGTGCAGTTTTGGTTAATTGTTGATTTCGCTTGCAACTAAACTGTGAGCTGCCAGGCCATCTCCCTGGGCTTCACTGTGTGTATCTGTGCCCAAGCGCAGCATAAGTGCCAAAATGGCAAGGGGCAAACAGGCCAACAGGCAGCCAATGGATGCGGCTTTTGACGCACCAATGCAGCCACTAATAGACAACGTGCCAAAGAGCCAAGAGGCATGTGCGTGGGTGTCTGCGTGGACGGCTACGTGTGTGTGTACGTGAGTGTGTGGGTTGAGGCTTCACTTACGGCAGAGGGCTTTCAGACATCAGAGCGAGCGACTTCATTAGAAGAGCTCGATTTTCTCGGGCAACGGATGATGGAGAGATATGTGGGTCAGTGTTAAAAGTGGCAAAGGTAAATGAATTGAGTGCAGGGAGGAAGAGAGAGAAAGAGAGAGAGAGAGAGAAAAAGAGTGTGAGAGAGAGAAGAGGGAAACAGAAAGATATAGATATAGGTATAGGTATAGATATAGATATAGGCAAAGTAAGTAAGAGATAGAGAGAGAAAGAGTGATAGATAGACAGTGAATCGGAGCGAATGGGAGCAATTCTGTTAAGATTATGTTAATGTTAGGGTTCTGATAATAATCAAAGATTAGTGAGACTCGCATATGCCATGCATACATATGTCAAACTGATCAAGAAATGATTAAATTCTATATTTAATAACATTGTACATTTGCTTACCGTAATAATTATATTATTATACATATATACACATATTTTAATACCTATGAATGTGCTTCAACTAGTTCATGTTTCTTGGGAAAACATTGTGAGAACTTTGAGCTGCTCTCGCATGCAGTTTTTGCGTCTCAGAGAGTCAGAGATCGCAGCCGCCTTAGTTGGTTGTTTTTGCATTTAAGTGCGGCTCTTAATGATTTAACAAAGTTTTTCTGCCAGATGCACATTACATGCAGAACCCACACGCACGCACACAAACACACACAGTCAACCACACACATACACACTTATATACGAGAAAAGCAAGCCATTGTTGTATGTTGCGGCCATAAAAAAGTTTGTCAGCAAAACGAGTAGAGCAACAAAACACATGAAAAATGCAAGGCAAAGCGTAAATTGTAACCCCAGCTGAAAGTTTTTTCCATTCTGTCTTTCTCCTGTTTTTTTTTTTTTTGGCATTGTGCATATAAGTAAATAGCGGAACTGTGAGGAGTAAGCAGAGGGCGTGGCAGTGCTTGTTTTAGTAATTTAGTGCGGCATTTGAAATGCTGCTGCTCGCGCGTTGCAAGAAGCAAGAAGCGCCGGAGAAGCCACACCAGTGCATAAGCAACGTTATGTTAACATGCAAAACTACGCGATGTTCGGTTTCGGTCCCTTCGCTGTTGTTTGCAACTTCAGCAACCGCATTTTATGTGCCACATTTTAAATGCCAGCATGCATTTCTTATTCGGGAATGCTAACTGAGGACAATAGCAGCCGAAGCACCAAGAAATAACAGCAAAACACTTTAAATGTTGTGCAGTTGATAACATTTACTGGTGGCTTATGTTAAATATGAGCTGGTTCCGAGGATAAGATGAACTAAATTATTGATACGGAAACTGTTGGCAAGTTATATGCGTACATTTTTCGATATTTCTAAGGACGATTATGCAGATACCTC